GGAGCAAATATCATCTGCCCATGAATTTGAACTTTTCTTAACTTCCCTACCTCTATTATTTTGGCCCCAAATTATAAACTATTTGTACCTCTTCTCATCATTTCCCTTTTAATACTAAAAAAGGATACATTTATTTTCCTGTTCAAGCTTATCCCTTGATCTTTAGTCTTGTCCTTGTCTATCTTTATATTTTATATGACTTTTTTGATCAGTGAGATCCTTTATTTTGTCCACAGTCAAAGGCTAGTGTCATCTGTCAGGAAGAAAACATTTGTTCTACCTAAAGATAGATGAGCTGTGTAGGATCCCTTGCTATCCACCATCCATTCCTATCCCTTTTTTATTTATCCTCCTGGAAACAAAGGCCAAAAAGTACATTTCTGAGAATTCCTTGCAGCTATATTTCTGGATAAAATGAGGATTCTGATGCATTTTAAGTTCTGCCAATGAGATTTGGAGTACTTAAATTAGGCAGGAGCTCTCTTCTTGGAGCATGGTGGCCTGTAGGCAGTTCTAAATACATGTTTGTGGCTTCTGTATTCCACATTCCGATATGTCTACTAAACCTTTGTGGGTGAGAGGCTATGTGACAGCATTCATGGGCAGTAGTAGCAGCAGTAGCTTCATGACATTTGGATTCCAACTGCAGTGGGATGAACTTGAAGCCGTTAGATCACTGGAAGTCCCTTGATTCCTACTTCTATAGCCCTAGGTTTTGGTAGACACCTAATAGCCTTTCTGTCTGATACACCTTCAGTGGTTAACCTTTCCTATTCTGAACCAATAGATATAGAATTGTACCTCTCATGTGCTAGGCACTGTACTGTGTTTTATATTAAGTTCATGTAAGCCTCCCAACAACCATATGATGTTATCTACCATTATCTCCATCTTACAAATGAACAGAGGCACAGAGATGTTGAACAATATGCTAGTACGTGGTGGAGCTGGGATTTAATTTCCTGAGCTATCTGCCTCTTGGACTCCATCTACCTCTTTCTACCACATTTCCTCCTCTGCACTTGACACCTGTTAAGGCTTCTATATTAGCTATCTACCCTTGTAAGGTCAATGATGAGCCTTATTTATTATTGACTCTTTTTAGTTATATGTGATGATAGGATTCATTTTGACATAATTATAAAAGCATGGAATATAACAATGAGCTCTTAATTGACAAATTCAGATGATTGCCTGCTAATACCTATCTTGACCTCTCTAGAGTATTCAACCCTGCTTTCTCAATAGAGCTCTTTTTCCTTTGTTTTTGTCATCCTTCACTTCCTTGTCCTTCATTCAATCTTTCTGGTCACTCCTCTATCTTCTTTGCTGTACCCATATCCTTTGCCTGTCCCCTGAATATTGCTGATCCTTAACATTCTTTTTCACTCTCTAGCCTCTTCCTAAAGTAGTCCTAATATTTCATTTATAAAAATGCAATGATTTCCACATCCATACATTTTTTTTTCATTCTGACCTTTCTCTTGAGCTCTGGACCCATGGATGCAGCTACCATTTCAGGTTGTATGTCTGTATCACCTCAAAGCTAAAATGTGCAAAACTTTCAGATGAGGAGACAAGGGATGAGAGGAGGCAAAAAGACTTGCATATGGTTATAACGTTGGTAAATAGCAGAACCTCAGTTAAGGCTATATCTGCTAGGCTCCAGAATTAATCTCCACACTACAATGAATATTTCTTTTTTTTTTTAAATGGGCATGTGGTTCACAAAAAAGAGCATAACTAAAATTATAATTAGTTCCATGTTTCTGTGTCTCAAAGGGCCTTAGGTTGCTTGAGAGACCTAAGGTAGCACAGGTCCCAACACAGTGGTATCAGACTCTGTAGAAATAGTCAAATATGGTTCAAAATGGGTTCTCTCCTGAAGCCCAAGTGTTTATGTGTTGTTTCCTGTAAGTGGGGTGCCCTGTACTGACAGCTTGCTACACACCCTATTTGCATTTTATAGTCATTTGTTTCCCATCAAACAACAAACACTCTAATATTTTTACTTTGTTAATTTTTTGTTTATCTAGAAATAAAAATTTTTAGGAATTTCAACCATTCCTTCTTCATCTTAAGATGGAATACGTAAGTAACATGTTTATAAAACTGGAACTAAATTAGATAACTTACTATAGGTAGGTCAGAAATGTACTCAAATTCTTGTCATTTATTAGAACAACTACTAAAGTGTTCAAGTGAAGTTTGGAGCAAGCATCATGTACTTTTTTCAGACTACAATGAAATTATAACAAAGATAAATTATCTATTTTTATACACAGTTTAGTTCTAATTTGTCTTCTACTCCAGGGACACATTTTTATTATTTAGATATTTTTGATATAATGAGTATTTTGTAAATTTTGCTTCAACTAACACACAGAACTATTTCCTGGACTCTTGGGTCATAAGCAGCTGCATTTATTCACTCATTTATGCCTTCATGCAACAAAAAAGGGGCCAATTCTATGCTGAACATTGTGGTAGACAATGATGTTACCATGGCGAAGAGGACAAGGTCTTGGTCCTCAAGAATCTCACAGCACAGTAGGGAAAATCCCAACCACATTAAGTGCCATGAGGCACTTGTTAACTGCAGCATGCATTTGGGGAATGAAATGGGTCTTACATCTGGAGACTTAGAGGTGATGGTAGAAGATATGATAAGTTAATTATTTTTGTCTTCATGCTTAGGTCAATAAGAATCAGGAGAGTGGTAAAATCATAACTGTGTTTAACAGCACTCTGGCTGTGTATGGAGAATGGATGAGAAGGGTCAAGAAGTCTCGGAGGCTACTTTACTATTCCAGAAGAGAAATAATGATAATTTAGGCTGGACTAGTGACAGAAGAAATAGAAGTAAAAAGTAAGGAGATAGGCGTGTAGTTTGGTGGTAGTTGGCTGTGCCTAGAATATCTCCATCCCCAGGAGAAAAAAAGAACTAAGAAATAGGGTTGATGAGTATAAGCAGGCAGAATTGCACATGGGGAATGAGGACATTGAGAGATAGTTAAGCCAGGTTTCTGGATTAGACAGAGTAGAGGAAGATGCCACTCACTGGAGTGAGCAACTGTGAAAGTGGATCCTATCAAGTGGAGGGCAAGATCAAGAGTTCCATTTGGATGCATTAGGTTTAAGGCTTGGGCCTACCATTTGGAGATGGAGGCAAATTCAAGAGGATAGGTAAAAACTAAAAGTACTACATTAGAAGCATGAAAGTGGTAATTAAAACCATGAACCCGGGGAGATGGCTCATGGTAAGTATATAGGACATAAAGAAAAGAAGGTGATGGATGGGATCAAGATGTCCTCTTGATGAAATAGTTTGAGAGGCTGAAGGCAGTTATCTATATGAGACTGAAGCTTAGGGAAAAGGTCTGGGTTGGTACTACAGGAGATAACATTTAGAGGGCAGTAGAAACCATGGGAGAAAATGAGCCTAGAAAATGTAGTGTTTTGTATCAATAACATTACTTTTGATAATAGATATTGTTAGGAACTTGGTTACTACAGGTAGAAATAATCTTGAAGTTAATGATTCCCAAGGAAGAAGAAAACAGGGTGAAATGCAGGGGTGATGTTTAAATGAAAAGAGGTCATGATTGTAAAGTATAAAAAAAAAAAGTCTGCCTATGTGGACATGAATTCCCTTCTGATGAACCTATTGGTATGGTTTGGATATGAAGTGTTTCCCCAAAAGCTCATGAGTTAGAAACATATATGATGTCCCATGTAACCATGTTCAGAGGTTAAATGGTTAGATTATGAGAGCTGAAACCTCATTGGTGGATTATTCAATTCAGTGGATTAACAATTTGAACTATTGGGTGGTAAGTGGGGTGGGAGTGGCTGGAGGAAATAGGTCATGTGGAATGTGGTTATTTGATAGCCTTTTAAAATTTGTTCTAATTAATAATACATGACAGTAGAATGCATTTTGGCAATTCTACAGTGGGCACTCACCTACTGTAAGGGAGAGAGAGCTGGGACCTGTGTATTGTGTCCTTCTCTTTTAACTGGGTCAGGTCCTTCCCTCAGGTAGTCTTGGAATCCTGGCCTTCCTAAGGAAGGCCCATACCTGTAAGGTTATCATAGTCAGGGTCTCCTCAGCTGCCCCACTTCCTTCAGTCCTCTCATGCAAAGGTTAACAGGGTAGAAAGATCTTTGCTTCTGGAGGATAAGAAAGCACTGTGGACCCATACACAGTGAGCTCCCGAATCAACATCACCCTTGTTCATATCAAAGTTCTCCCGTTGGAGAAAGTATACAAGCCACGTACATTGGTCTGGCATATCAGCCTTGTTTTGGGTACTCATACTGCAAGCTCTTCAGAGTCACCCTGTCCAGACAGGACTGTGCTAGCCACAGGGCTGAAGAGCAGGGGTGGTGGCCAAGAGTGGATGCCATACTTCTGCTTCTTCCTCTTTCTTATTTCTACAGTAATAGTTTTTTAGATGGACAGATGATGTTTGTCTTAAAAAGCACTCTATCAGTAAAGATGAAGATGCCACTCTCTTTTTCTTACATGAACAATTCCCTGATTAGAGGCAACTAGAAATGACTTTATTGGACTCAGTGGAAGACTATGGGGCCAATAAACCCACAGGGTATCCTGTTTCCATTTCCTCTTGTCTAAGATGGAACAACCTAGACAGCTGTTAAAATGATAGGCTACTGCTTCTCATTTAAGGCCCTCCCTCCAGTTTTGCTTATCTGTGATTAAGTTTTTTAAATGTCAATCTCCTTTAACCTTTTCATTCAAGCTGGAGATAAAGACCCAGATTGCTTTTCACCGAATAGGCCTCTTTGTCATCCATTGAAGAATTGAAGGTAATGACAAACTTTGGAGAGTATGTTGTCACCAAGACATTTTGTTGTGTTCCAAGCTTGAGAACTAAGTTTATGAGAGTAGTACAAAGGTTGGCAAAATCCCCTTCAAATATTTCCTTCCTCTTCCCCCAACCTGGCTGTGAGTTTTAGGTACTAAACAATAACAATAATGTTAAGGGATCTTTATTATTCAAAAAATAAATAACAAGATAATGACAAATTCACTCTGGAAACAAAGGATACCATAGGGAGACAAAATAGATTTTCTTTAAATACAGTCATTTCATGATGAGAAGAGGGCAGGCTTGGAGCTGATTTCTCTGTTGCCGCCTCTCATCTCAGTGCTGCAGATAGGGACAGGGTAGAAATAAGGCAGCTGATTACTAACAGCCTGACTCTGTGTGTGTGTGTGTGTGTGTGTGTGTGTGTGTGTGTGTGTGTGTGTGTGGTGAAGTGAGAAAGACAGGGAGGGATGGAGATTGAGAAAGAATGAATGAGTGTTAGGGTAGTAGTGGGGTAGGGTTTCTCAGTTCTCCACAATGGTAGACTTTCTAGAACCTGGCCTCCTCCATCAGAGCCTCAGGGACCCAGAGTCAACCACACATGAGTGTGAGCTGAGGCTCCTCATTTCCCTTCCGCATCTTCACTAGTAAATCAAATACATTATCCACTGAAAGACACGCACATAAATAAAAAAAACTGAACTTGGCTAATAATCTGCTGTTTACTCAGATTTCTATCTGTGCATAATGACCTCGTCTTTTCATGGGAGTCTCTGGGTGTCTGCATCAGTGGGGTTGCTGCTTCAGAATATAAGCTCTTATGGAGCAGGGTCTGTTAGGGTGTTGCCCATCCTGTAATTCGCTTGTTACAGACCTATATGCCTTGGGGTGCATAATAAATATTTCTCCATGAGGAGGATCCTAGGGTTATAAATAGGCAGTTCAACAGGGGGTGGTCTCAACTGCTTTGCTGTGTTATGAAGACTGCCACTGTCAGCTTGACCACAGCCTAGGAGGTTGCACTGTTCAGAGTTTGAGTAAGCCAAAAGACGTGAAGCCGGTCCCATGGCTCACTTGGCTTGGATCAGTCACGTTGACAAACAGTGAAGCACCTGATTGCAATTCAAATACTCCTCCCAAATGAGTGGACTGTTGGCCGCAAGGTTTGGAGGAACTGTGGCTGGTTGCCGCCCTCAGTAAGATTCTCTCGGATTCACTTGAGGACTTCAGACAGAGGCTGACTATAAATGGAGCTTGACTCAAAGCTTCCCGGTTGGAACAGAAGGTAACTTGGGTGTAGACATAATAGAGTCCTTCTCTTTTAACAGTCAGCTGTTTCCCATTTTCAAGGGTTACCAAGTTGTTGCTCATGGTGTAATATCCTTTTTTGGCCCACTGTAGCACTGAAAAAAGAGGAGAAAATTCTGGTTAAGGGGAAGCAAGAGCATGGTTCACATTCTAACTGGAAATAGCTTTGTGTAGGAATGGATTCTCAAGGCTCCTTCCAGCCCTCAGAGTTATGGAGGAATTGTGGATAACAAATTAGCATGGGCTTTAGAGTCAGAGCTGGATTTCAGTGCTAGCTTTTTTCAACCTTTGACAAGTCACTTAATCTCCCTGAGCCTCAGTTCCTCACTGGCAATATGGAGCTGATATTAAAACAAACACATTTCAGAAACTTGTGGAGATTAAATAAAGTAACAGTTCACAGTGAGTTTCCTTGTCTTTTTAGTTCTTAAAAGCCAATTTTCCCTTGGATTTAAGAAAGTGCAAGTGGTTTCAAAATTCACATCATGAATTATGCATACCAAATTATTCAGACAAAATCATTGCTAATATTAACATGGATACCTTGCTTGCCTTGAATTTCATAAAGTCAAAGAGCTGTTACCCTACCTAGCTCTGCCTTAGCTCAGAGAAAAGCCCCTGTTTCTTCCTAGCTGATCATGTAGCAAAACCGACCTGCCTCCCACAGCAAGGACTAAAATTAGGCAAGGAAGTATGAAAATAAACTGTGTGTTCATTTCACTATGTGCGTTTTGATCTCCCATTGTAGTGGGCGCCACCAACTTGAAAGTGCCTGTATTCTTGTGGCTAAGCCAGAGTACCCACCAACCATGTGCCATTTTCTCTGCTGAGATGTTGAGTGGGTTCAAAGTAGTATATGTGCCCAACTTCAAATCTCAGCTCCCACAGAGAGCTAGATTGGCTAACAGGAGGTGGGGGTTGAGGAGAAGAGAAAGTATTGATGCATTTGCTTTCTTGAGCATTTTTTTTAAAAGTCCTATTCAGTGGTCTTAGGTCTATCAGGACACTAGACTCTATCTTTAAGACTCATCCTTAGGGGCTGAGGCTCAGTGGTAGAGCACTTGCCTAGCATGTATGAGGCACTGGGTTCAATCCTCAGCACCACATATAAACATATAAAATAAAGATCCATTGACAACTAAACAATATTAAAAAAAGACTCATCCTCATGTAAGAGAGAGGTATACTGAAATGCCTGACATTTTTAGGTCCCCCCCCAACAAAAAAACTTTGGAAATTATGCTTCCCATATGATGTTTTCACTTTGGGACCATTCAGAAAAAGGGACAGGTTCTCTATCTTTTATTCCATTTTGTTCACTTTGTTAATTCTTTATTTTAGTTCTTGCTGTAAGATGTAAGTCAAGTCTACAGCAGCGTGACTGGGTAGGAATGAGAAATTGGAGATTGGGATGGAGAGGGATGTTATTGTCTTCCCATTTGACCCCCTGCAGAACTACTTTATACAGACTTTAAGATATTGTAGGACTGATATCAGTCATGAGCCTTTGGGGAGAGTCTGAATTCCATGAAATATATCCAAGAGCAAAAATTTAGGTACAGGTGGACAAAGACTAGTAGGAGTTGATTTTAAGAGGTTTCTCTGTTGCTGTCATGTAATCCAAAAGAGAAGGTGTCATGTGAATGGCTTCCATGGGCATAACAATGTAGTTACAATGTAGTTGTGATGTTCTCCATTAAGTGTATTTTCTGAGAAAGGGACATCTGATAGAATTATTAACTATTATAGGAATAACTGATATTAATTAGGGACTTTATGTCACTCTTTTGACATCTAAATCACAATGAGGTAAGCTAAGTAGTGGCACCTTTCAGTGGTATAGCATAATTTGACAGCATAACTTTCTCCCACATTAGCTGATTTGATACTCAAAGTCACCCTGTCAAGTAGGTAAGGCAGGAAACTGCTGCATAGTTAAAGGAACTTGCCTGACGCCACTCACCACTAAGTGGTGGTCATGGTTCTTGAATCCCATTGTTCAAAAGCTCTCTATCAGGTGCTTTTATTTCCATACCATGATCCATGATAACCATGTATGTGTTACGTCCACTGAGAAGCCCAAGCTGCCTCAGCAATAAGACAGTGTCTTCCTCTCTTTCTTTCAGTCTCTGTTTCTGTCACATGCGTGCTCACACGTGTGAGTGCTCTCTCTCTCTCTCTTTAGAACTCCATTCCAGAGCAGTCTGCTGAAATTTTCAAAGACTGCTCTGATGCTTTTGCTTTTATGTAGATGGGGGATTTTATGCTAGCGTACGTGTTTCCATCATTTATCAGATGCGACACATTCTCTAACAGCAGCTTTTGCAAGGTACAGATTTGGGAAAAAATCTAAGGGCTAGAATGATGGCAGAACATATATGGAAATAAAATCATTCAGAGTTGAAAAGATCACAGTATGTCGTCTGTTGTTACTTCATTGGAAAATCTAACGTCTTGGCACCTATTGATCTTTACAGAATGATTTTACCTTTAATTTCCCTGAGGTTGGCCCCAGTGAGGCTGGGGTTAATCATATAGGGATTGACAGAAGACAGAAAAGACCCCCTGAGGCCCATTTACACATAGTGAAGAGGGGTTAGGAGGAGGGATGCTCCCAGGCAGGAGGTCACTACATGCCATCTCTTCTATGCTGTCAGAATAATAGTCCCTCCACCCAGTAATTCATCACTTAGAATCAGCCATTGAGCAAGAACATAATGAGAACATGGGGACTGCTTCCCATCTCCCTTTGTCCCTCTAAGTCCCATCTGTGCATTTGAGCTCACTTTGAAGACAAAGGACAGCATTTGAGGTGTATGGGTAGGTTTGTAAATTGGGCCCCAGAGGAAGAGGGGAGCCTCATCATTAGGCTGCATTGCTTCTATATCCCAGCTTTCCCCCTTGAGTGGCTGGTGCTCAGATGCTATGGGACTTACCAGATGCTGTTTTACTGGCCTCACTTACAACATGTACAGCAATTTGTGGATTCTGATCACCTGAAATGAAACCAAAAGCAAACTGTCAGGCCAAGAAAATATGAAACTGCTCATAGGACTATATGGTGCAGTTTCTACAAGTGTGTCACAGAGACTATGCTAAAATAGGTTATAAAAAAGAATGATTATGTGGTCTGAAATTCTTCCCACTGAAGGAAAAGTTGGTTTCTAATATCAATAATTAAACTAGAAATTTTTCACTGATCCCATTCTCCTAATAGTTGTTCAATACTCAATTCCAATTGACACAGACTTAAAGAGGCTAAAATACTTTCTTCATTAAGCCTAATTTGAATCTTGCTTTTAGGAACAACTCTCACACATTGGGGGTTTCAGTGGGTCCCAAAGTTGTGTCTGCAGACTTTGCTAGTAAGATGCTTATTGAGTCTGATTTGGTCAAGAAACTGGCTAAACTATTGGATTTTTCTCTGTTTCTCATGTAGAAAGGCTTGCTCCTTAATTAGATGTGCTGGTCTCGAAAGTACAAAGGCTGTCTGGAAGTTTCTTTTTTTCCAGTTATATGTGTGGTGCTAGGCACTTTGAAGGTACCCTGTAAATGATGACATCAAACTGCATGACCTGAAAGGCCAGTTTGGTTAAGTTTATGATTTTCCTGAAGACTACAAGGCAGCATCCACATGAACTGTTTTCTCAAATTTCACTATAATTAACATACAACATGGTACCACTCAACCTATCTTGTAGTCATTCTGAGGATGAAACTTCCATGGGAATCAGATGACTCTTTAGCATACCAACCAATGGTTAAGGCTCTGAGTACTCTTTTTGTGTCAGAAAATAGTATCTATATCTCTATTTATATGCATTTCTTCATGTGTTTTAGATTTGCACAAGCTATAGCATTTTAGTCACCAACTTTGTGATATACTAGTCTCTCTGACGATACTCTCTCCTGCTTCAGTTGCTCAAGTCATGTCAGGTATTATTGTGCTGCTTTTGGGGTGCTATAGTCTAAAAGGAACATGTAAAAGTGGGTGTTTCCAGAAAAGGAGGTAACTAGGAGAGGAAAAAGCCTAGAAACTGTTGTCAGAGGAATACTAGAAGACACAGAGTATTTTAAACCAGAAAATAAAAAACACAATCAAAGTACAGGGGCCATATTTGTTGTCTTCCATATCTAGACAGTTGGTTAGTTTAGCCCCAAAGAGCAGAACTGGGTTCAGTGAGTGGAAACTACTGGAAAAAAATTCAACTCAAGAGGATGAAAGGCTTCTGTTGAGTAGTATATTAAACTTACCACAATTATTAGAGCTGTTCAGAGGTAGACCAGGCCATCTTATGAGGTAGAAGTTACCTCATACCTAGGCATGTTTGAACAGGGACCTGATAGTGTCCCCCTTTATTTTTTACTAAAAGAGATTTATATTCTGGGGATTGTGCTAGATTTGAGAACCATCATGGTCCTTTCCTAACCCTAGATGTTCAGGATACTCTGAGTTAAAGCATAGGACAAAAATTAGAATGCTGTCACACTATCATTTTTGGATCCTAGAAGCTCTACTGGCTACTGTCCCCGATGAAAAAAAATTGTTATCATTGGGTGATCGATGCCGCCTTTACCAATTGATGGCTTTCTTGTCATCTCATCCTCTGAAGTTGGTACCAGGCTGTATGGTTTTTGAATTAAGAAATTGAATATAATGGGATTTTTCATATTTAGTAGTCACGATTAAAGGAACATACACACCAAGCCTTTCCAAATCAGAGGGACCAGAGAAAGTACCCATTTGTAAATGGTATTTCTGTTTTATTTCCAGGGCTAAAACTTTCCTGATTCATCACTGGGTTGTTCAATATGATCAGCCTCAAACTTCCTTTTACTTTTCAAGTGTTCATCAAAATTGGTAAAAAGCAGCTTACCTTTTTGCATTTCAACACTTTCTTTCTTCTTTTCCTCTTTGTTTAACATTATATCCTAAAAGAAGAATCATTGCAAAAGGTTATTTTGACAGGAACTTTGCTACAGGATTTTAGAAATATCATTGATTTGGTATCCGTCATTACTTTGTAGTCTGTTTCTGGTGAGGATTATCATATAGACAAAGATGCTGTCATTAATTCTATCATACCAATTGGGAGCCCATGGCTCTGACAGATGGGTTCACAAGGCCAGAAATCCCAGGGGAGAATCTGGAAACAAAATCCAGGCCTTATTATCTCCATTCCAGTGCTCTCTCTATACCAGAGGCTGTGGTACTGAGCCTCCCTATGACCCCGACCTCCCTGGCTTTGACAGATATTGACAAATAATGCTGAATGGAGAGCTGATTCTACCCTGGGAACTTGTATATGGTATATTTTTTAACATAAAGCATAGTGTATATCTATTAGGATAAAATTGGCCTGAAATCTCATAGGAAAAGATAATAAATTTAACCTTAAGACAAAAATTCCAGAATATGAAAAGACCTTCAGACATTTTAAATTTTGTTATTCTTGTCAATGGGCTTAAGAGATTCTCTCGGTGGTCATCCTATATGGAGTGTATTTATTTTGAATTTATTTGAATTTGTATTTATTAGGAAAACAGGTCATCTCCTAATGCTGCTTTGTTCAAAGGCAGATAAAACACTTAACAGATTTATTTTCACCACAAACTGAAGGGATATTAGAGGTTCTTAAGAAGCTAAAAACAACTGCCGTTGACATTGGTTGAAAGATGATCAAGGCCATTTCTGCCATTTTAAAGAGACTGAACAAAAGGCCTGGGGGGCTTAACTGGCTGATTGGAGGTCACCCAAAGAGTCCAAGGCTTAAACCAAGAGTAGAAACACATTCGCAGGCCTGGCTTGATTTGTTCCATTATTCTATATTAGGAACACAAGTGGGAAGATAATAGTATTTTCCCATCTTCTGATAGTCAAAGTCTTGTGCTTCCTCCCATCCCTGAAATCAATTGCATACAGAGCCCTCCCTTTGCATCCCTCCCTGAGAAGGAATTTGTGTTGCTCCTGTTGACTGTTTAGCTGTGGGCTCAGCTCAGTTGCCAGATGTGAGGGCTAAGTCACAGAGCCCCAAGGAGAACCTGAGTCTCAAAACTCTCACAGGGGCCGCAGGCCTTCAACTTTCCATTTGAGCTGAAGTGGGGCCTGGTGAAAATGCGGCAACAGGAAAATGTTTGCGAGATAACAAGTAAACAAATGACTATTTAGTGTCTTTTTAAAAACTAGAGTGTGATGATCAAGGTTGAGATACTTTTAGGCTAGATGTTTGCATTGGTGTCAGGACTTGGCCAAGATGAAAATGTGAAGTCAGCAAAGTTTGTCTTTTATGCACCCGGCCTTGCCTTTTCGTGAACTTTCCCCAGCCACACTCCCCAGAGCCTCCCTCTCTCTCTCTCTCTCTCTCTCTCTCACTCTCTCTCTCGCTCTCGCTCTCTTTTTGCTTCTCTCACCATTTGAACAGAAAGACTTTTTAAAGTTGATTTTCAGAAAATCTAGGAATAGTTATTTCTCTCTTAATTAGAACTCTATGTGGCACATATGGACAGGTTGCCCTTTAACTTGAAAACAAAATGATTTGACTCTTTCAAAGGCATCTCAGGGATTATGTGAAGACAATCATTGAATAGAACATTCTAGCAGGGAGCGAGACAGGTAGTTTTTATGTGAAATTTCTCTTTTCGAAATGATGCCTTCATTTAGCCCTGAGCCCTGAATCCCATTTTCCTCCCAAAGTGACAGCATGGTTACCTGCCTCAGGTGATAATGAGTTCCTTGTCAGTAGGTATGTTAAAATAAAGATGGGGTGATCACTTGGTAGGGGTAGTAGAGAAAGACTGATTTTTTCCTTCCCCTTTTTGCAGTGCTACAGATTGAACCCAGGGCCTTGTACATGCTAGGCAAGTGCTCTACCAGTGAGCTACATCCCCACCCCTTTAAAAATTATTTTATTATTTTTTAGTTTTAAGACAAGGTCTTTGCTAAGTTGCTGAGACTGGCCTGGAACTTGTGATCCTCCCACATTAGCCCTCTAAATTTCTGGGATTATGGCCCAGTGGATCTGATAATTTCTAAGACTCTGTTAAGCCCTATGACTCAAAGCCCTAAAATTTAAGCTTGTTGCTCTGGACAAGCCAGATTATAGCCTGGAAAGAAAGCCTGCTACCATTAGATGAGAAAACACAAATCCTATCTGAGGTTATTCTGTAGTTGGACTGTTGGATTAAAAAGAGTCCAAAATATTTTTGGGGTGAGAAATTTGGGGGAATTGGTATTTGAAAAGAGGTCAGGCATTGGAGGAGGATTGGGCAGTTGAAGGACTTTGTCAGATGGCTTTGATCAGGGTTCCATACCTGCTACATTTCAGACAAGGGACCTCCTGGGTCACAAAAAGGAGGAGGTCACTGGTTGACTTGCCTGAAAAGGTCTATCTTTTTAAAATACAAAACTTGGAGCTGTTACTTTTTTTCATATATGCATAAACAGAGAGATCAAACCAACTGTTTTCCTTACACCTATCCGGTAGTTGATTTTGGAAGTTTTACAATTCTGATCTGAAATAAGGACACGAGGAATTGGCAGTTCATCTGTAAAACTCTCCATAAGAGAGAGAAGGAAAAAACCAACAAGCTGTTCTCACTGCCATTGGAAGGGACTGAGGGCTAATCATATTATTACAGACTGTCAGAGCTGGTAGTGCCCTTGCAGATAATCTGAGCCTTCTCATGTTATACATCAGAAAACAGAGGCCCAGAGAGGTGAAGTCATTAGCTCAAGGCACATAGCCTTGGATTATGCTATTTGGATAATTAATCATTTTTTAAATGTGGTTTTATTTACATTTAAATTTGCAATACTTCCCAATACTCTTTGCTAGAAACCTCCAAGAACTGGACAAACCCCAAATTTCCCAATCTGGTTAGTCTTACAGATAAAGGGTTGGAAGTTTCATTTAAAACCTAGTGTAGCTCACTGGTACAGCAGTTGCGTAGCACATGTGAGGCACCAGGTTCCATCCTCAGTACCACATAAAAAATAAATAAATAAATAAAATAAAGGTATTGTGTCCATCTATACCTATTATTTTTTTAATTTCCATAAAACCTAGTGTAAAGAACCTGAAACTCAGCTACAGATTTGAGCCACATTTTGATCCCCGTAGGTGACTCAGGAATAAGCTCTTCGAGTTTTCACCATTGGGTTAAATTATACATTGGTGACAGTACAGGAGGACAAGAATAAATTCTGAAGTCCCTTACTCCCTTATTCAATTACACATTATCTGCATGTGAGAACAAATTCCTGTTGGTTTATTCAGGTATCCACTCAATCTGACACAGGGCTGTCCTCAATGTGGTGTGCTGCCTCCTGGACATGACCCCTAAGTGAGCTGAAGGCCAAGGGCACTTGACTCAGTGTTCAGAGAGGGAAATGGGCAGAGAGAATTCCTGATGGTCTGTTTCAGGAAAAGGAGCCATTTGATATCATGTCTGTGATGACCAAAGTAATATAAAAATTCTAGAAGTTCTTATTTTAGGTACCCATTATTGGGCATATCACTAGTGGGTGGCTAATAGCCTTTTGTGTTAAAAGGCTTCAAACCTTCTCTGCCTCTGGCCATGATTGGCTCTACTGGACTGACTTTGTGAGCAAGTGGTATGTTATGAAGTCTGGTTTGATTGGCATGGAAATATGTTTGCTAGGTAGGTAGATATGTTTGTTAGTACCTGGAAGTCCTTCATGGGATAAGTACTAGAGACTGCATCTGTCAGGAATCCCTACTACTCCTGGTGTAAGCAACATATTCACTTGTGACCTGCCAACATGGCAGCTGCCAATGGTTATTGCTTTCCTGGAAAATGGGGAACAGACTATGGTGCCCCAGTGGGAAAACATCAAGGTTTGGGTGGGGAGATACAGAAATGCAAAAAATAGAACTTGGTGTACTTCTTCATCATTTTTTCTCAGTGGCATCAACATGTGTGAGTTACTGAGGATGCATGAATGTGCCCACAAGTATATTTTCCCCAGAGAGAGCCTTTTTGTTTTTATCAAGCAAGAATGTACCCATTTCCACCTTTTTTTTTTCAGTACTGGGGATTGAATTCAGGGGCACTTGACCACTGAGCCACATCCCCAGCCCTATTTTGTATTTTATTTAGAGATAGGGAGGGTCTCACTGAGTTGCTTAGTGCCTTACTAAAATTGCTGAGGCTGACTTTGAACTTGCAATCCTCCTGCCTCAGCCTCCCAAGCTGCTGGGATTACAGGCATATGCCACTGTGCCTGGCATCCAACTTTGCTTTTTTTTAACTTTTTAAAAATATTTTTTTTAGTTATAGTTGGACACAATACCTTTATTTTATTTATTTATTTTTATGTGGTGCTGAGGATCAAACCCAGTGCCTCACACATGCTAGGTGAGCGCTCTACTGCTGAGCCACAACCCCAGCCCATCCAACTTTCCTTTTTAATGTAGGATTTTGGCTTAATTTTTGCTTTTTTTTCATACACACATTCTTATCCATGCAAGTATGTATATATTTTTACATATGTATGTGTATATGTGCATGTGTAGGTATAACAAATCTTCAAACTTTCACATTGTCAGATTTCAGTTTCCCAACCTAACAAATATAGTAAAACTTTTAAATGACTTTTACCAATAACTGAGTGCATTACCTTGACAAAGCCTTCAAATTGACTTCGGATTTCCTCACAGTTCAGCAAGGATAAAGATCCATCTCCTTTGTTGCATCTCTGTATCGTTTTCATGAATACAAAATCCTCATGAAGATTCCTTTCATCTTCTATCTGTTTTGAAATAACAAGGAGATGAGAAATGTCATTCATTAGAAGAATACAGCTAACAATGCCTGCTTCCACATTCAGTTCCATCATACCAACAAGAGGACGTTGAGAAAGCTTAAGTGGGGAAGATTATAAATTATTATGTCAGATCATTGCCTTTGGTATTTGCCATTTAAAAATCTGCAAAATCCAGCAATTAAGAAAGCATATTATCTGAAACTGTAGGTAGAATCACAGCTATTCTAATGAACTGTCATTACAAAGTGTATATTTTTCAAAGTACCATAGTTATAATATTGTATAATTGTCATATTTCCCATCAGTCTATAAAATAGTTTTCTGCTGGGCTAATTTACCCACTTTATTTTATTGTTCATGAAGAAGTGCTTTCGAAAGAAGTTAATTTGTGATGTGAGTCAATTTTACTTTGATTCTAATTACAATTTTCTTCCTTCATAACTTCAATATTTGCAGAAAATATTTGCATTTTTAAAGAAATTGTTTTTAATCCCCAAAGTTAACAAGATATTTTGTTTTCCAATGTTATAGTAATTAAATGTATAGAATTCACTTGTGTCATCAACTAATCCTATAGCATTATCTTGTTTTAGGAGCAGATTTTTAAGATTCAGAACAAGATCGAAAGCTGGGCTTATAATCCCAGCCACTCTGGAGGCTGAGGCAGGAGGATCACAAGTTTGAAGCCAGCCTGGGCAACTTAGAGAGAACCTGTCTCAAAATAAAAATAAAAAGGACTGGGGGGGGCAGCTCAGTGGTAAAGTGTCCCTGGGTTCAATCTCCAGCATGAAAACAAACAAACAAATAAAACCCAAGTTAACCAGCAGCTTTGGGGGTCACTAAGAGCACACCTGAATGTTATGGTACATTTAAGTCTACCCAGGTCAGTATTTCTCCTTTAAGAGCTAGGCCTATGTCCAGACATTTGATTGACAGAATCTACCAGACCAAACACAAACAAACGAGCAAGCAGACCTAGAACCCATCTTTTTTTTCAGCAGTGAAATCTACAATTTGAGTTTTGTAGTAGATTGCCTCAGCCCTCACTACCTCACCTTTTACTGATAGAGAAGTCTGTGACCTTAATTCTAGATCTGCATTCCAAGAGAGGACAGTCAAGGATCCCTGAGAAACTGCAGTCACCTAGGTGCTGTCTAGCCACAGTTGCTACCTCCAGACTTTTAGGAACAACCAGATAATTGATTCATTTTCTCCTAGTCACACTATGATTGGTGTTTTATCAATAGAGCCAATAAGTGGACAAATACATGGAAACAGGAAAACTCCTGTTATCTTTTCCTGAGAATGCAAAACTTCGTGCTAATTTTACTCTTTTCTTCTGTTCCTATATGTCCAACTGTTTAAGAAGGTAAAACACCTCAGAGGGAAACTGAGCAGCTTGCAACTACAACTGGCGTTTGAAGCATCGTACAGAGAACACCATTTTTGCTTTAAAAAAAAAAAAAAACCTGCCAATTTAAGCACTTTTCCATGTCTGTGCTAATCTGCAACACTTTGACTTTTCAGATCAAATTGATTCTCTCCTCCCCTAGATGGAAGTTTAAAAGAAAAAAGTTGTCTCTATCAGAAAAAAATAATTTACTTTTCAAATAAAACTTTAGCAAATAATTATAGCTATGCCCACGTAGAACTTACTATGTGCAAGGCAACTGTTCTAAGCTCTTTACAAGGTTGGACTCATTTGATCTATGAGATGGGTACCATTCGCATTTCTATTTCTCAGGCATGGAAACTGAGGCATAGAAATGTAAAGTAATTTATCCATGATCACAGAGCTGGTAGGGACAGAGCCAAGATTGGAAACCAGGCAATCTGGGTCCAGATCCAATATCTTAACCAGAGGTAAGAACATGACACTTGACTGAATAGACAACAAACATGCCACAAGGCCAGTAATCAGCTTGGTTTTCTACCATCGACAATCATTTGGTTAGAACTAAAACCAAGCAACCCACAGATCAATAAGAGTTTGACTTAGTTAATAAAGGCTCATGGTTCATCTTACCTTGTCCAACCTTCTATGAAGATACACAGCAAAAAGTGCCGATCCAATCATCTGGGTGATAAGAAAAACAGTAAGTAAACACATAAAAATTTTCATGCTGACAGGCAGTCCAGTGGCCACAGATCGGGGAGTAGGTTGGCTGTACGTTTCGATCATGCTGGGTTAAAATTGAAATGATATCTTCTGACCAAAAAGGTGGCAGAGGCAGCATGAGAAGACTGTCAAAGTGGCCACCTTACTCAGGATTAGTTAAGAGCGCACAATCGTTGCAACCCACACTTCCTGGAAAAAGTGCTTCGTAGTCTTCTCTCCTAGTTAAAAAGTTACGTAAAGGTTTTTTTTTTTTTTAATTATACCCATATCATTCACTTCCAGGCTTTCCTTTTTGTTAGTAAAGAAGAAACAAGTTTCTTCTTCCATACATTCATTCTTGCCTTGAGATGTCATACACTTCTTAACAGACAATGGCAGCATTTTCCTATCGCTATCTAACTTTTTGGGTTCACCAGTTTCAAGGAAAGTGACAAATTCATCCACAAGCAATCGACTCATTTCAATTTCAATCTTACTAATATAAAGTGGGAAACTGGTATAAGAAGACAGAAACAAATTGTCAACAAAAGTCTGGATTGATTTTGTGACTGGTGTGCTACTGGCTGATTTCTTCTCAAGACTATTTCTTTACATTTTCAGCTCAATAAAAATCCCAGAAGCTTTGCAAGTCAAGACTACATGGCATAAAGAAAAAAAAAATGAGTTCTAACAATTACTGAATAAGATTTAGGCAAAAAGATGATGCAAGAACAATATCATCTTTGTCCAAAGGCAGAGCTAAGTAGGGTCTTTGAGGAAATCAGGCCAAAACTCTGGGATGGAAATTAAAGCAGAAATATTAGCTTGGCTTAGCTGTTGCAGGTCTCAATTGCTAATGCTGATACAATGGTTCAGAATAATGAAAATAGGCTGCACTTGAGACACCTGGATTCTATTCCTTGCTCTACCAACAAATTGCTATGGACTTTGTAAATCACAAACTTCTGTAGATCTCAGATTCTTCAGACCCAAAGAGGGCACCTGCTTTGTTTATCCCATAGGCTGTTGTGAAGACAGAAAAAAGATGTACACAAAAGAGATTTGAAACATGTTCAGCAATAGGCAGCTCTCATCCCTATTTTTTTAAACAATTATTTAGCCTAAAACTTGAGCTTTATAAATCATTGCCTACTCTTTACAGTGGTTTTTAAAAAACATATGAACAACAAACATCAAGTGGCTCATGCCTGTAATCCCAGTAGCTTGGGAGGCTAAGGTAGGAGGATTGCAAGTTCAGGGCCAGCCTCAGCAATGTCAAGGCACTAAGCAACTCAGTGAGATCCTGTCTCTAAATAAAATATAAAATAGGGCTGGGGATGTGGTTCAGTGGCCAAGTATCCCTGAGTTCAATCCCCAGTGCTGCCCCCCAAAAAGCACCTAAAGTTGTGACCATAAATTGAATCATTGAGGTGTGTAGGATTATCTATTCCTGACTGGCTACTGTGTGCTATCTTAGAAGTCTTCAAACTAAATGCAGTTGCAGTACCCCCTAGCCCACATCCCAACCTTGTCTAGAAAGTGATAAAATTGCTTTGGTGATTCCTATACAATTGGTTTTGAGAGACAAATATAAAACGTAAAAACTGCTCTGATAGGCATGCTCTCTGTGGAATTAGCACCTGCTTTCTTCCCTCCCACGCCCCAGCATCCTGTCCTGGGCCCTGATCTGTGCAGCTAGCTTTTCACTACGTTTGCCAAGTAGGTAGCTTCAATGCACATGATGAACTTTGATCAGTCAAGTCAGAGGCTTCAGTTCTTAGAGTAGTGACCTTAGTACTGCTGAAGGAAAATTAATATGAGAGCCAAAATGGGTTCAAGGCCTCCTCCAGAGTCAGTTTCATACGATTACAGAATATCAGAGTTGCAAGGGCCCTGTGAAGATCGGTTCAGCCAAGCCCAGAGGAAGAGGATGCTGAAGAGACCACAGAGATGCAATGTCAGGATTTGTTTGTGTGATCAGTTTCAAGAAAGAGTTGTTGTCTAACCTTTCTGGTCTCCTTTGTGATCTCCAACCTTCTTCAGTATGACTTCTGCCCATAAATACCACTGAAACTGCTCCTACTATTATTAGCTCAATAATAGTTTGAGTTGCGTAGTTTTTAGAATTCATTTTTAGTGACCACTTTATTATCCTATTGACCTATTATTCTGTTGCTACTCTTCTGAATACACTCCACCCTTGAAATCTATACCATAATACACTTTTTTCTTGTTTGCTTCCCCAGATTTATTGAAGTGTAATTGAGAAATGCAAATTGTATATATTTAAAGTATACACCATGATGATATATGTATACACTGTAAAATAATTAGTCTTGTTTTTACCAGTATTTTACAGGCTTTCCATGACATGTCCTATTTAGACAGTCCTTCCAATTTAAGGTCCTCCCCTTATGTACATTCAAATATTGTTTCTTACTTCCATATTGAGAATTTGTAAGTCCTGATTAATAATATTTCCATTGCCCAAATAATAGGCCACTTGGAGATCCTAAAGACTGCAGTCTTGAAAGTTTAGCTACCACTAAATATCTCTACTTAGATGTTCCAGATCCACCTTACACTTGAGATGCCCCAGACTTATCTCATTTCCAACGCAGACTACTTCTCCCTTCAAGTTCTCCGTATCTTGATGAATCAGGTTCCACCACGCTTCTAATTGCCCAGGCCAGAGACCTGGGAGTCATTTATGATTCCCTCATCTTTCTTACCCAGATGATTCCCCAATTTCAATGGCTTCTTCCTCCCCAAATCTTCTTGATTACCACTACTTCTCTCCATGTCTCCTTGCAAACATCCTAGTCCAGGCCTATATATCCTTTCTTTTGTAATTTATGAAACTGTATCATCCTGATATATTTATTTCCTGCCTCACCCCATCTATCTTCCATGCCACCAGCAGAATGTTAATTCTAAGTCTTTTAAGTGATCATATTAACTAATCTGATTTGACTTCCTGAGATTCTATCCCAGACCCAAGGAAGCATATTGATATAGTGCCCTGGTGTGTTCAGCATGAATAATAGCTCCAGAATGCACTGCTTGTATTTCAATCCTTGAAGCTTCTTCTTTCTCCCATCCTTCTTCTGCCTAGCCTCCTGGTTTGGTGCCATAATTGGCTACCTGCTTAGTTCCCAAGCTGAAGCTCCATTTTCTGATATCTGCTTCTGTATCAGATGGCCTTTGTGTCAACCCCCCCCCCATACCTATCTCTCCCCAACAAAGAGTGGGATGGCCATCGAGTTTTCCCCAGTTAAAAATCTTCAGCTGCCTAACACATTAGAAAAGATTCTCAAACATTGCTTTCACGAAAAGGGGACATCTATGGAGTTCATGAAAGTGCCTGTTGTCAAAATCAAATATTGACCATCTTTTTCTTATTGCACAGAAATAATTAAGTTAATGATACGTATTGTCTCATTTTTCAGTTTTTTTTCCCTTTTTAAAAAATGTATTAGTGCATTATGGTTGCACATAATAGTGGGGTTCATTTAAACATAGTCATAGATGCATGGAATATAATATGCTCTACTTCAGTCCCCAGTATTTCCCCCTACCTACCATCCTACCTTTCCGTGTTCCCCTTCCTCTACTCTACTTGTCTTTCTTCCATTTATTTATAGCTTTTTCAAAATGAGTGCTTTCTAATTTTCTTGAATCTTTGTTGTTCTTTTTACTACTGCTTTTCTGGCAGCTAGTAACTAATCTATAGCAAACAAGTAGCAAGGGAAAAATTTTAAATGTATTATAATTTACCAACTTGTTTTGGGTGCAAATATATTTGTGGTTGTGATTTTATATAGATAACATAGAATACAGTCATAGTTTCTGCAAGGAGAATGATTTCCAGTATATGCGAAAGAGTTAAATATGTCAGTATTTTTTTGTTGTTGTTCTACAAAGGGTTTCACAAAGACTATTTTTCCTGAATATATCTGGAAGATTCTTGCCTAGAGGATAAGGTCTCAATTCTTAGTATGACAGATGAGCTGACCCCTGCCCACATTTCTGTCCTTAACTTGAACATCAAGCATATTGAGCAAGTTTTATTTCTATAAATGTGCATTGTTTGTTGATGCTGTTCCCTGTGCACAGGCTGATTCCCTCCTCTCTTATCCATTAATGTCAAAGTGAAAGGTCCCATTCCAACTGACAGAGTGTCCTCTTCTGTGCTTAATATATCAGGTATTCACCATACCACATCAGCAGGCATAGACTCAAACCCTCAGAGGGAAAGTTTGAACCTCTGCATGCATGCACTAGTGAGTCCCCTGCTTCACCTTCCTTAAAGGGGAAGAGTAGACTCCCCTGAGAGTGAAGTTCACCCATTCCTTTTCAGTGTCTTACAACTTATTACAACTTATTGTCTGACATCTTTACCATCAGCTCCCAGAGGAAAGAGACAAAGTATTTTAAAAAACATTTCAGAGTCCTTGGCTCCTGACACATTGTTAGAGATTAGTAAATATTTGTCAAATTACTAAATTTTCTTTTCAGGGATAGAAGGGGAAGTTGTAAAACATTCTAAGCTGGAAGAAAGATACTTGACAGCCTCTCTGGTGATACAGAACAGAATATATTTGTTTCACATTTTCTTCCATTCTTTGAATTATCTCTTTTTTTCTCTAGGAGTCAATTCTATTTGTTTATTTCAGTCCTTTGCTTTCATGTTAACAGTTTTCCTGAAATGTCTGGTGATCCTTAGTTGTCTGGTCATATTTATGAATGAAAAACTATGTTGGTTAATATGGGTAGATGGCATAGGTTTCCTCTGCAATTGTGTTGATCTGCTTCCCCTTGCAAACCTCTCTCCGGGGGGAGGGCAGACTTGTGGGTTCTGTTTAAGTGGGCAGGGCCTGTAAACAAGTAGGCTGGCTTCCCTTTAGGTTATGTGGGTAGAGAGGCAGGAAGACCAGGGACCCCCACAACTGATAAGGTAAGGAGGGCTTTTCTCTGGGGGTGGAGCCCTTTAAAGGGTTTCACTCCTGACTGCTGCTGGTTTTTCTTTTGCTTTACTGTTCTCGTTGTGGTGGAGGTCTCAGTGTTTCAGCACCCTCCCTGGCAGCACTCCCCAGAAAACTTTGGCCTGCTAGCAATGGCCTACAGGGGAGAGGGAGTGGAGGGGAG